TGATCATCTTGTTTCAAGACTATTTTGACTATTTTGGGTCCCTTGCATTTTCATCTGCATTCTAGGACCAGCTTGTACATTTATGCAAAAAAGGCAGCTGAGGTTGTTTTTTTTTAATTTTTTTAATGTTTTATTTATTTTTGAGAGAGAGAGAGAGACAGCATGAGCAGGGGAGGGTCAGAGAGAGACAGAGACACAGAATCTGAAATAGGCTCCAGGCTCTGAGCTAGCTGTTAGCACAGAGCCAGACGTGGGCCCTAAACCCACCAGCCGTGAGATCATGACCTGAGCCAAAGTCGGATGCTTAACCGACTGAGTCACCCAGGCGCCCTGGCAGCTGACGTTTTGATAGGGATTACACTGAATCTGTAAATCAACTTCAAGAGAATTGACCTCTTAATAATATTTTCTGATCCACAAACATGAGATGTCTTTCCATTTAAGTCTTTAATTTCTTTCAATAATGTTTAGTAGCTTTCAGGATACAAGTTCTTCATCTCTTTCATTAAACTTATGCTTATTTTTTTGATGCTATTGTAAATGCAATTTTAATTTCACTCTTATATTGTTCATTGCTAGTGTAGAGAAATATGATTCATTGTTGTATATTGGCCTTGCATCCTAGATCTTTGTTGAACTTTTTTATTATTTCTAAAAGTTTTTAGTGGATTCCTTAGAATTTGCTATACACAAGATCATGCTTTCTGCATGATTTTACTTCTTCCTTTCCAGTCTGATAGTTTTTATTTCCTTTTATGCCTAACTGCCCTGGCTAGAACCTCCAGTACACTGTCAATTAGAAGTGGCAAGAGTAGATATCTTTATCTTGTTCCTGGTTCTTAGGTAGCAAACATTCAGTCTTCTACCATTAAGAACGATGTTAGCTCTGTGCTTTTCATAGATGTCCTTTATTAGGTTGAAAACATCATATCTATTTCATAGTTCATTGAAATCTTTTTTTTTTTTTTAGTCATGAAACGGTATTGGATTTTTGTCAAATGCTTCTTCTGAATCCATTACCATAATCATGTCACTTTTGTTTTTTATTCTATTGGTATGGTGTATAATGTTAATTAATTTTCAGATGTGAAACCAACCTTGCATTCCTGGGATAAATCCTACTTTGTCATGGTGTATAATTCTTTTTGTGTGTTGCTAAATTTAGCTTGCTAGTATTTTGTTGAAGATTTATTAAGTTTTTAGTTGCTATTTCCTAACTTTCTAATAGTGGGTTAAGTACAATGTATACAAGTACAGTTAGTTAAATCATTGCATTTTAGCATTCACTGAGTGTTAAAGATAATCCATAAGGTCTTGACATGTAGTGATTATATTTTGCTGAAGCAATGGATTTTGCTTAAGTATTTTATTTAAATCATGTGCTACAAGACCAGTGTAAAAAGTGTCACTTAGCTAGCAATACTAGCCATGAAATAAGCTTTCAAATCCCCAAATGACTTTATTCTCTAATTTTGTTTTAATAGGCATTTTGGGGGCAAAATTATACACTAGAGTTGTATACCTCATCTGAAGCCCTCTCCTTTCAGTGTCCAATTTTAGTGCAGAGGCATATTAAAGCACACAAAATACCTGACCAAAACTGAGAAAAACTGAAAAGATTTAAAACATTATTGGAATCTCTCAAAGAATATCAAATGGGATCCAATTTAAATTCCATAAAAAAACTTATATTTTAAACACAAATTTAATTAGTTTGCAAGATTTATAAATTAGCAAATGACACATAAAACTCTATGTATCTGATTTCTCTTGAAAATTTTGAGTTTGGAAAAAACAAGAAAAATTTGAGTTTGGCAAAATATTGACTTCATTTTACCACTGGCTGGCCGTGAATAGTGACTGCCTCCTTCAAATATGATTATGTTCTTCTAGTTTGCTGCAGTCTTTACCATTGCCTATTGTATTCCATATGGCCAATTTTACTCTTTATGATAATGGAATTTATGGCCTTTTAATGTTATCCTTTTTCAATTTATATTAATTATGCTCTCTCAGATTCCTTCCAATTTTGCAACTTTTTCTGTTTCTTATATTGAATAATATAACAAAAGTTCTGAAAGCCCCATAGGATCCGTTGAACACTGTCTGGAGTCCAGAGATAAGCTGTGGACTTTTGGTCCCTTTAAGCATATTAAAATTGGTGTGGAGGGGCGCCTGGGTGGCTTAGTCAGTTAAGCGTCTGACTTTCGCTTTGGTCATGATCTCTCGGTTCGTGGGTTCGAGCCCCATGTCGGGCTCTGTGCTGACTGCCAGCTCAGAGCCTGGAGTCTGTTTCAGAGTCTGTGACTCCCTCTCTCTCTGACCCTCCCCTGCTCACGCTGTCTCTCTCTCTCTCTCCTAGAAATAAATAAAAAACATTAAAAAAAAAAAAAATTGGTGTGGAGACCTCTATCTGATACAAAGGAGAAACCCAAACAACTGGTTAACTAACTTTGTATATGCAAGACCTCTTTCAGGGAAGAGAAGTCCATCTCCAAGAGAGAATAAAGGGGAAAAGTGCTGGGCAATCTATGCCTATTGTTAGCAAAGTAGAGATTTACAAAATTGGGTCTTCCTGGAAAAAGGAAGAGGAGATGGAGAAAGAAAAGAGATATTACAGTAACATTAAATAGGACCTATGAAAAGGAATTATAATGTCAATGACAATACAAATGACATACATACCTCAACTAATGAACTAAGAGCTGCTATTTTCTCTGAAAGTGGCTCCTGTAGGCTTATGTAAATCCTTGACTGTGAGAGGAAAAAAATAAATCTTGTGTTTACTTCTGTTTCTTTACTTGACCCTTTAAATCTTTATGTGTATTTCTTAAAAACCTCAATTATCTTAGGACAACTGGGATAGCTTTGTAGTATTTTATTTTTACTACAGTTAATCTTTCTAGAGCACAAGAACTTTTCATCCTCTTTTTTTTTTCTCTTCTTTTCTTTTCTTTTTTTTTTAGGGGAAGGGCAGAGAGAGGGAGAGAGAAAATCTTAAGTAGGCTCCATGCTGCGCAAAGCTTGACTCAGGGCTAAATCTCATGACCATGAGATCATGACCTCAGCCCAAATCAACAGTCAGATTGTTAACTGACTGAGCTACCCAAGCATCCTCTCCATCCTTTTCAACAGTGACAGTTTAAATTAAAAGGTCAACCTAAAAACAAGACTACATAAGCCAAAAACTGCATTTGGAGTACATGTACATGTTTGGGTTACTGGATTGCATTTCAGTAATCCTCTACCTAACAAGAGAAAGTAGCAGTATGTATGTGATTTGCAAAATAGAGTGAAGGCTGGTTTCCTAAATATGATTATATATTCATGATTATACAATTGGTCTCAGTTTCTTTTTAACCAGTGATTTTTGTGAAGCAGACCTAGGGGCTCCTAGGCGGCTCAGTCGGTTAAGTGTCCAACTTTGGCTCAGGTCATGATCTCATGGTTCATGGGCCCAAGCAGTGCATTGGGCTCTGTGCTGACAGCTAGCTCAGAACCTGGAGCCTGCTTCAGATTCTGTGTCTCCCTCTCTGTCTCTGACCCTCCCCTGCTCACGATGTCTCTCTCTCTCTCAGAAATAAACAAAATAAAAAGCAGACTTACTTAGTAATAATAATTAATTTTTCATTGGTTAAACTATTATGATGTCAGCTGGAACCCAATAATTTGGACCAGAGTAGGTTAGCATAGTACACCTCAATGAAGTCATTGAGTACCTATAAGAAAATTGTATTTTATCATTTATTCATTTCTGTTCTTACTTCAAGACTATTTGTTAATATTTGATATATGGAACAAAGAAAACAGTATGTGTAGTGAAACACATACATATATACAGTTTGTCTACACAGTTACAAGTCATTAGATAAAAGACATTTCAGAAAGTTACAAACCTAATCTTAAGCTTTTAGTATATGCAGGGCTGTATGACCTTAATCTTATGGGAACCAGGGAGGTTTTGGTTTTGCTTTTTTAAACTCTTTATGATTGAAATGCTCCTTTTTAGATTATTTGTAAACAAAGCAGATGTACAATGTGTGCTCAAGGCAGAAACAGCCCACATTTGAGGTTTTGCTGACGCTGGTAAATGTTAATGTACGGCTTGAGAATCCATGAGCAAGCCCACAAACACTAAAAGTTGAAAACTCCCTATATTGTATTAACTCCTGACCTACAGTAAGGCCTCAGTAAATGTTGGCTATAATTTTTACAGTCATCACTAATGTTGTCTCCTGTAGGGCTTTTTACAGTGCCTGGCCCAACAAGCACCTGAGGTTTAGAATACTGCACCTTCCTCTTACCCTTCCTGCCTTTAGCATACATTTGGCCAAACCTTACTCTTACACAACTGGCCACAGATGGTTGTTGGACACCTAACACTTTCCTACTGTCCGAACTGGTTTTTGAAAACCCTAAAATAACTAATCTCGTTGGCTGCAAACACCAGAGACAATTGTGTAACAGCTAATGCCTTGCCCCATTTTTCCTGTTCCAACTCAGTTGCCCCGTTCCTCAGGACCAGTTAAAGGTGCATTAGATTTCATATCTAACCACATTCTCATCAACCTAGAAATCTTCGTTTATCTACAAAGAAAACTCCAGCTTGTGATTCAACCATCAAAGAACGACAAAAAGAACCCCTTGACCTGCAAGGTGAACCTACCGAAACGGGAGTATAGCATACTCAACCCTCTCCCCAGCTCCTGGACAACGACCTTCGAGACACTCCTGCTGCTGCGCGTAAGGTACAACGCTGCCCTTGTTTCAGAGTCCATTCCCTCTTCGTTTGCTCTCCTCCAGCTCTTTACCAGACTTCCGTTCGAACTTCCCGGGAACAGCAGAACCCACCAATCACAAACGTCTTTCTCAGGGCCACGCCCCCACCGCCCCCTCCCGGAGCCGAGTCGGATCTCGCGCACACCCCTCCTTCTCTTACGCACGCTGCGCGCGGACGTCGGCCTCTGACGCTGTCATTGCCCCCGCGCCGAGTCCCGCCCGGGCCGCTCCAGGCGACCGTTGGGCGGCCTGCCGATGTCCCTCCCTCAGGACGTCCCCCCACCCCCGAACCGCTCTCGCGGCAGCGACCCATGTGGGAGTTCAGGCTCCTGCGGTCGCCACCGCTGCTGCTCCTCCTGCCGCAGCTCAGCCTCGGAATCGCCGCGTCCCGCTCGCAGGCCGACACCATGAACCTGGGCGGCGGCAGCGGTGCGCGGTTCTCCCAGTCGGCGGAGGGGCGCCGGCCGCAGTGCCTGCAGCTGTCCACGGTGCCGGGAGCTGAGCCGCAGCGCAGCAACGAGTTGCTCCTGCTGGCGGCGGAGACAGCCGGGGAGGGACTGGAACGGCGGGCCCTCCCTGGGGACCCGGCGAAGGAGGAGCCGCAGCCAGCGCCCCAGCATCACGTTGTCTATTTCCCGGGGGATGTGCAGGTAACCTGGGGCCTGCCTGGACACCTGTTCCTTCCTCGTGTGCAGATGCGAATTCCCTCAATTCCCCCCTCGTGCTAGTGCCTGGTTCCTTGCCTCTCCTGAACACACCCACCCATGCACGGCGTGGCTCTTCCGCTACTCCACAAAATCCAAAGCCGCCTCTGCCACACCCCTGACCCTCCGCTTCTGGAGCCACATAGGGAAGGTGTCCTTGGAGGGTTACGACCTCAAAAGAGCCAGCTGTTAGTCCAGGCTTCGACGGAGTGGAATTTGAGACCGAGGAATGAGACACACAATGTATATTCATTCTGTAACTTGGTTTCTCAAAAGTGGTGGTGGTGGTGGTGGTGGTGTGTGTGTGTGTGTGTTAGGAAACAGGGATGACATGTAGATTAATTTAGCACGTAGTGTTCTGAAAACGCTGGCAGTAATTAAAAAGCAAACAAGTAAAAAAAGACTACAAGGGTATATGACACATTCAGTAACCCTAGAAAGGGAGGGTGGGTGGAAGAAAGGGGACAGTAATTGCTAAGCATGTCAATATTTTGGTGCTCACCTAAATACTTTTGTTTTTGTATATGATTTTATCTTAATTATTTTTATAGCACCAGGCAAATATTTGTGGTTATTTTGTCCTGGAAAGCTGGGTCTTAATCTAGATCTTAATTCAGAACCTGGTTGTCTAATATGCCAGCCATTACTCATATATAATTTAAATCAGATAAAATAAATCAGGCTCACTAGCTACATTTCAAGTGCTCAGTAGCAGCTAAGGTTTATGTGTGCCCTAATGGACAGCACAAATACAGGGCATTTCCACTGAACATTTCCATCATCACAGAAAGTTCTGTTGGGTAGTGCTGATGTAGACAGCATGGCTTGCTAGACAACATGGCTACCATGAAACAATATTACTTTATTCTTTTTGAAATTGATGCTTTAAAATGATATAGTTACAAACTTTGTGCCTTGTGTCAAATAATAGTTAAGATAAATGTAGTCTTTTTTCCTGTTCTTAAAACAATTTACTGGTCTAATTGATTCCTAATAAAAACTATGAAAAAGCTAGTATTTAGATTTAAGACAGGATACTTAATTTACTCAGTTGATGCTCTGTTGCTCGGTTTGGGAAAACAGCATGACGTTGCTAACAGTGACTTCCAGAGATTTGAGGACCAGCTACTGTGTGCATCTATAATGATGATGATGATGATGATGGTAGTAATGATAACTAACCTTTATTGAGTACCTACTAAATGTAAGTGTACCGGCAGAATACAGTACAAGTCTTTGGATGAGGTCTGAGAAGTGCTAAATACACTTAGAGTAATACCTCCTTTCATTTTGACATCATCCATTTCCTAATGTAGCCTGGGATTCCATTAGCTTTTTGGATAGTGATACAGTGTTGATTCATGCAGAATGTGAAGTGCTTTAAAAACCCAGGTCCTTTAGAGAAGAATAGGATAATGCATCAAAAGGCTTTGAGGCCAGATTGCCTAGGTTTGAACCCTGATTCTGCACTTTTTAGCTATGAAATCTCTGGCCAATTGCAGCTATCTCAACTATAAAATAGGAATAATAATTTAGAAGATATCAATGAGGACTAACTGTGTGAATACCTAATGACTAACAGTTTCTTCTCTTCTTTCTGATGACCTTGTTTATTATTTGGCTTCCCTTGTGCTCAGTTTGTGGACTTTTCTACTCAACCTTTAGTCCCTTAGTAATCTCTTTCAGTCTTGTTGTTTTACACACTTATCTATACTCTGATGACCTTCAACATTTGGGTATGTAGCCTAAATACATTCCAGGAACTTTGGACTTACTAATCACATGCACCGTATTGCCTTTTGGATATTTAATAGATATTTCAGACATAACTCAAAGCAAACTTGGATCTTGGCTTTTTGCAAAATCTGTTCTTTTTGCAGTCTTCCTCATCTCAGTTAATGGAAGTTCTTTTTCAGTTGCTCAAGTTAGAAACCTCGAAGTTATTTTTTAGTAACGTCTCTTTGACACATCATATCTTACTCGATCAACAAAGTTGCTTCTCCTTCTAAGTTTATCTGGAAGTAAGCAGAATTATCAGTTTAAAATATAAGTCAATGGGCGCCTGGGTGGCCTAGTCAGTTGAGCATCCAACTTCGGCTCAAGTCATGATCTCGTGGTTCATAGGTTCAAGCCCCACATCAGGTTCTGTGCTGAATGCTTGCTCAGAGCCTGGAGCCTGCTTCAGATTCTGTGTCTCCTTCTCTTTGCCTCTTTCCCTCTCACACTCTGTCTCTCAAAAATAAATAAATGTAAAAAATTTATTAAAAAAATAAAATGGAAGTCAAATCATGCCTCACCACTGCTCAAAACTCTCCAATAGTTCCCCACGTCACTCAGAGTAAAAGCCAGAGAACTCTTTATGGCTTGCATGGCTCTTCACTATCTTTACCTTTTCCCATTATGTTGCTTTTCTGACTGTCTCCTTTTTCTGTTTTACTCTGCTGTAGCCACACCAGGATTCTAAATATCAGTCATAGTAGGCATACTTTATCTCAAAAACTTTGCACATATTGCCTGGAACACAGTCTTCTTGCAAATATCTTTAGGATTCATTACTTTACCTGTTTCAAGGCTGCTCAAAAGTTGCCTTCACAGTGAGGTCTTTTACGACCAACCTATTTAGTAATCACATATATGCACAGGATCCCTGTCAGCTTTTCTCTTTTATTTTTATCCATTTCATTTACTGTATCAGTTATTCATTTTGGTTTTTATCTGTCTTCCAACACTACAGTGTAAGTTTCATGTCTGTTTTCTTCACTAATATATTAATGATGCTTAGTGACTGGCATGCTATAAGTATTCAGTAGATAACTTGTTGAATGAAATGAATAAATGAATATATGTAAGTTGCTTTGAGCAATGCATGATGAACTGCTTGATAAATTTTGGTTATTATTATATGAAATGCTTTTGGGCTCAGATTTCCTCATCTGTATCTTTGTACTTAGTTCTTTTGAGCCTAATGTTTATCCATATGAAATTTACGCTGTTAAATACAGCTCATCTTTTTTATTGGTGCTTTTATAGAACCATTTGGTTTGTATCATATATGGATTAAATAAGCATTCTTTCTGTATCTTTATTCTTAATTTGGGGAAGTAGTGAACAGAATAGGACCAACACAACTTTATAGGGTACGATTAAAAGCTTTACGTCATGTTACAACAGATTTGGTATCAATTGGATCCGATTGGCCATGTAATTTTAAATGTTAATTATCATTACTTTCTTGATGTTCCTTTTGCAATCATTTTGTTTTTGTACGTCATTTTTTATTCTATACTTGTTATATTCTCATTTGACTTAACAGATGAGCTGAGAACATGGTAATTTATATTTCTTTAGGTGCTTTGAATTTGGAGGAATCAGTATTTTTTTTAAGTAGACACTTTCCAATTTTTTTGAGTTCCCTTGCTTTGTGAAGCCTCAGGATATAAAATTATACTTATCTCTTTTTTTTTTTAAGTATAAGCTTACAATTTGATGAATTTTGACAAATGTTACAATTATGTAACCAACACCACAAGCATGTTACACAACATCTCTATCACCCTAAAACGTACCCTTGTGTCCCACTTCTGTCAGTCTCTTCTCAGCCCCAGGCAACCAGTGATCTGCTTTCTTTAATTTTAGTTTTGCCTTTTCTAGATTTTCAATAATTTGGAAGTATAGTATGTAGTCTTGTTTCTGGTTTCTTTCAGTTAACATATAATGCTTTTGAAATTTATCATTACTGTTGCCTGTATCATTAGTGTGTTCCTTTTTATTAGTAAGTCATATTCTGTGTATGGATACACAGTAAACAGTAAACAATTTGTTTATTCATTCAGCACTTGGTGAACATTTGGTCATTTCCAATTTTACCTTTAAAGAAATTCTATTTTCCTAAAGGCTAGGATATGTAAATGACTATGCCCTAAGTATATGTCGTGGTAAGTAGAAGACTCACTTCTGTGTCACTCCTTCTCACACTACTACCACACTCATAACACTTCTGAAAGCTGATGTGTCAGGTTTTTCCCCATACCAGATTTTCCCCATATCCTCTTTTACGCTAGCTGGTATCCTTAATTCCGACAGTGTCCATCTGGAGTTAGTGTCACATTTCACAAGTTAAGGGCTCAGTCTCATAGGACTGTTCCCCCCACTTCAGATGCCAGTCCAAGTCCCAGGTTGTTACCTGTACTGCTGACCAACTGGCTATAAATTGGGCTTCCCATGACTCACTGCTTGGGTTCAGTTAATCTGCAGGAGCAGCTCACAGAACTTAGGGAAACAGCTTACTTACTGTTTACCCACTTATTATGAAAGGATGTGATGAAGGATACAGATGAGCATCTAGATGGAAGAGATGCATAGCATAAGGTATGTGGGAAGGAATATGGAGCTTCCATTCCCTCTCTCTGTGCACCATTCCCCTAGGACCTCCATGTGTTCACCAGGCTAGAAGCTACCCAAACACATATTTGTGGATTTTTTTAAAAAAATTTATTTTTAATATTTATTTCTGAGAGACTGATAGAGTGTGAGCAGGGGAGGGGCAGAGAGAGAGGGAGACACAGAATCTGAAGCAGGATCCAGGTTCTGAGCTGTCAGCACAGAGCCCAACGTGGGTTTCAAACCCATGGACTGTGAGATCATTCATGACCTGAGATGAAGTCAGACACTTAACCAACTGAGCCACCCACGAGCCCCATATTTGTGGATTTTTAAATGGAGGCTTCATTATATGGTCATGGTCAATCATTAACTCTGTTTTCCGGCCTCTCTTTTGAAAATGGAGAGTTGGACTGAAAGTTTCAAACTTCTAATCATGTCTTGGTCTTTTTGGTTGACCAGTTCCTATCCAGGAGTCCACCAAGAGTCATCTCATTAGAGCAAAGAGGTTCCTGTCACCCAGGAAATTCCAAGGGTTTTAGGAGCTCTGTGCAAAGAGCCAGGGGCAAGTATATATATGTATTCTATTTTGCACTTGATCATATGCCCTGGGGTTTCCTGTGCTTCTTGTCATGCAGCCTTCTTAGGCTGTTATGGTCCTTCTAGCTTGCTTCCTTGGGATGTCCACTTTATGCTCAACAAAGATGCCCCCTTCCCCCATTTTTGATGGAAGTACAGCTCGTATCCAATACAGTTATCCTTACTCTGCTGTAAGAATGGTCTACCTAGCTTAAAACTTTATCATGAATGTCTCCATGACATTTCCGTAAATGTCTATCTCCATGAATGTCTCTTTTTTTTTAAATATTTACTTATTTTGAGAGAAGAGAGTGTGCATGTGTAAAAGTGTGTGGGGGCAGGGGGGAGGGGGAGAGAGAGAATCCCAACCAGGCTTCATGCTGTCAGTGCAGAGCCTGACTCCCAGCCTGATCTCACCGAGATCATGACTTGAGCCGAAATCAAGAGTTGGACGCTCAACTGACTAAGCACCTAGGCGCCCCAAGAATGCTCTCTTATATATGTATTTGTATATGTATATACATATACATATATATGTATGTATATATGTATGTATGTATGTACACTAAAGAAAACTGGAATGCTAGACTCCAAAATTTTAATAATGATTACTTCTAACTGATGGCTTTATGGAGGGTTTTTCTATCTTCCTTATACCTTTGTATATAGACTGAAATTTTTATAGTGAATATTTTATTAGTTTTAGTTTTTCAGTAGAAAAATATGCATATTGTTAAAAATTCAGTTTCTTTATGTTATACATCGGTAAGTAAATCTCCTTTTCATCCCACTCTCCAGTCTCCCCCATTTCTCTTCCCCAAGGCTACCATTGTTACCTTCCAGAGACATTTATGCCAATGCAAACGTTTTTAAAAAACACAAATGGTAGCATAGCATACAGTAGATTTTTAGCCCTTATTTTACAACCTATATGAGTACTCAGACATGCCTATTCTTTTGAAACAAATAAATAACCTTACATACTTAAAATATTTATGCATATATGCAAGTATACCACTGAGATAAATTCCTAAAAGTGGAGTTACTAGGTCAGAAGAGAAGTGCATTTAAAATTGTTCAACATAGGGGTTCCTGGATGGCTTAGTTGATTAAGCATCCAACTTCAGCTCAGGTCATGATCTCATGGTTTGTGAGTTCGAGCCCCGCATTGGGCTCTGTGGTGACAGCTTAGAACCCGGAGCCTGCTGTGGATTCTGTGTCTCCCTCTCTTTCTGCCCCTCCCCTGCTCATATTGTCTGTCTCTCAAAAATGAATAAACATTACAAAAAAAACCTTTTTAAATCTAAAATTGTTCAACATACATAGTTATGGCTGTTAGCTAGTTGTATTCAGTCAACTAGCAAATGTTGTTGACTCTACTTTCAAAATATGTTCAGAGTCTGACCACTTTTTACCACCTTCATTTATTTCTACTACCACTTTTATTCAAACTACCATCTCTTATCAGGATTATCCTTCAGTAGTCTCCTCCTGGTCTCCCTGCTTCAACTCCTGATCCTTCAACATAGGAGCCAGAGTAATCCTTTTCAAACATAAATTGTTTCAGCCCTCTGCTCCAAATCCTATCAAGCAAAAGCCAAAGTCCTCACACCTCCTCTCCTCCCCAACAATCTCTCTGACCTTGACTCTTTCTGTTTGTTCCCGCTACTGGAGCTATGGTGTCTTGGCTGTACCAAACATGCTTCCACTTCAAGGCCTTTTGCAGTTGCAGTTCCTTTTGCCTGAAATATCATGATTCACTCCCTTGGTTCCTTCTGGTCTTTTTCAAGTAGCTGCCTTATTGGAGACCACCCTGTGTTTCAAATAAGAATCTTCTACCCTCTCCAAAGCCTTGTATTCTTTTTGCCCTGCTTTTTAAAAATTTTACTCCACTGCACTTAACTACCAACTAATGTTTTATCCTACTAGCCGCTGTGGCTATTGACCACTTGAAAGGTTAGTCTAATCAAGGAATGAAACTTTTAATTATATTTAACTTTAAACTGAAATCTAAAAGATGATACTTAATTCAGTTCCTAGAAAACTTTTAAGTATATTTGAACAACTTGGATATATGAGTCTACTTTTTTGACTGTAAATTTTATGAAATCTAAATTCAGATCTAGTATTTCCAATGAAAATTTAGCATCCAAATTGAGATGTGCTATAAGTGTAAAATACACACCGGATTTCACAGACTTCATAAGAAAAAGAAATGTAATCTCTCAGTAGTTTTTTTTTTTTTATAATGGTGACATGTTGAAATTATAATATTTTATATATATTGGGCTTAAAATATATTATTAAAGATAGTTTCACCTGTTAACTTTTTACTTTTTAAAAGGTAGCTACTAGAAATGTGTGGATCATGTTATATTTCTGTTGGACAGTGTTGCTCTGTTTATTTATACAGTTGTTTACTGTTTTCCTCTGTACTAAAATGTGAGCTCCATGTGGGCAGGAGTTTAGTCTGTTGTGATCCATACCCAATCAGTAGGAACCCAATAAATTTCATAAAATAAATGAATAAATCTGAATGAATCTCCTCTTTTTTAAAAAAAGCTACTATGAATAAAAATTAAAAGGAAAACAAAATTTACATGCATATCCTAGAACCTGAGCAAAAAGTTATTACTATATATAGAATGCTTATAGATCCAAATAAAAAAGGCCAAAGTTATAAATAGACACAATTAGAAATCCAGATCCCTAATAAATATATAAACAAAATTTCAACTTCATTCAGATTTTCAATAAATCCAAGTTAGAATAAGCTATGCTTTGCAGAAGAAATTGAACGAAGATAGAAGAAAAGTTATACATACCTCTCTGGAAGACAGTATTGTAGTCTGTATAACTAATCTTTTTTTTTTTTTTTTTTTATGTTTATTTTTGAGAGAGAGAGAGAGAGAGAGACAGAGTGTGAGCAGGGAAGGGGCAGAGACAGAGGGAAACACAGAATCTGAAGCAGGCTCTAGGCTCCATGCTGTCAGCACAGAGCCTGATGCAGGGCTTGAACCCACAAACCTTTGAGATCATGACCTGAGCCGAAGTTGGCACTTCACCGACAGCCACCCAAGTGCCCCTAACTAATCTTAAATTATGAGTATTTTTTGACCCAGTTTTTCCATATCCAGGAACTTATTCTTAAAGACGTAATCACAGATGTATAAAAAGATTTTTCTATTAACGTCCATTGCAGCTTTGTACAGATGAAAACCTGAACAATGCAGGAGTTAGGGGAACTGACCCCCCACACAGTTGAAAATCTACATATAACTTTTGATTCCCCCCAAATTTAATTACTAATAGCTTACTGTTGTCTGGAAGCCTTACTGATAATGTAAACAGCCAATTAACGCACATTTTGTATATTATATGCTGTATTCTTACAATACAGTGACATTTTTCTTAAGAAAATGTTAAGGTGGTACCTGGCTAGCTCAGTAGGTGAAACAGGCAACTCTTGTTCTCAGGGTTACGGGTTCGAGCCCTACACTGGGTGTAGACATTACTTAACATCTTTTTTTTTAAAAAAAAGATTCTATTAAAATCATAAGAGACAATACATTCACAGTTTACTGTATTTATAGGAAAAAACTCGCTTATAAGTGGACCGTCACAGATTGAATGCATGTTGTTGAAGGGTTAACTGTATTTAATACCAAAATGAAATAAAACTTAGCATTCAGGTCGTTCCAGGGAGATGGGGGTTCAGAGTAACAGCTTTAAAGGGAAAGTATTTTTAAAGTTATGTTTTGGTCAAAAAGTCTGCTTAATAAACCAGTTTTTATTTTCAGTTAATATGTTAGGAATAGGAGACTGCATACTAAATAACATTATTTAAAATTATTTATAATCCTCTTAAGGTAAGTTTTATTTTTAAATTTCTGTGCTATTTAGCTGTATCTCATAACCCTGTCTTTTGATGGATTTTGGGTTTAAACTGTTAAAATGATTTGTTTAAAACCTTATGATCAGAAAGTAATGACAGATTTATAGTTTTCATTTCTAGTATGTTAACCATTGGTCATATAACATCCCAACTTCCTCCATAATAAAAATGGGAAACTATTTTGTGGAAATATTTTTATGTAAATATGTATTTAATGCTTGTTTCATCTTTTTTACCTTTCAGAATTACCATGAAATAATGACTCGTCATCCTGAGAATTATCAGTGGGAAAACTGGAGTCTAGAAAATGTGGCCAACATTTTAGCCCACCGGTTCCCCAATAGTTACATTTGGGTGATAAAGTGTTCCCGAATGCATTTGCACAAATTCAGCTGCTATGATAATTTTGTGAAAAGTAATATGTTTGGTGCTCCAGAACACAATACTGACTTTGGAGCTTTTAAGCACCTTCATATGTTATTAGTTAATGCTTTTAACTTAAGTCAGAGCAGTTTGTTTTCAAAGAAGAATGGGAAAGATTTGAATCAGGACTCCAGAGCATCCAATTGTAGTTCCAGTTCTTCTCACACTACTAATGGTTGCCAGGGAGAAAAAGAGAGGACCTGTGAAAAATTTGATGAGTCCACCATGAGTTTTTACCCTCCATCACTAAATGGTGCTTCTTTTACTTTGATTGGATTCAGCAAAGGTTGTGTTGTTTTGAATCAATTGCTTTTTGAATTAAAAGAAGCCAGGAAAGACAAGAACATAGATGCTTTTATCAAAAGCATAAGAACAATGTACTGGTTGGATGGTGGTCATTCTGGAGGAAGCAATACTTGGGTTACTTATCCAGAAGTCTTGAAAGAATTTGCACAAACAGGAATTATTGTTCATACCCATGTAACACCTTACCAAGTATGTGATCCAATGAGATCTTGGATTGGAAAGGAACACAAGAAATTTGTTCAGATACTTGGAGATTTTGGCATGCAAGTGACTAGCCAAATTCATTTTGCAAATGAAGCTCCTTCCATAGAGAATCACTTCAGGGTTCATGAAGTATTTTGAGACTACAAGAACATTAATGTACTTGTTAAGAAGAAAAGAATCACTTTGAGTGTTAATATTCAGATAGTGAGATCTAATTCATAGATGCACTGTCAGTTTTTCTGGGGGCTGGGGGGAGGACGCACACATTCCTAAAGAGTATAATGTGCAGTAGTTTTCCTTGCTTGTGAATGTTAACAGTTTTTAATTTGGATTGGGTTAGAATTAGTTCATTTGAAAAGTAAAAGGTGATTTGTGATAATCCTACAAGGAGATACAAAACCCTTAAGAATGAAAGTTATGATACAGGCCTTCTAACAGGTAATGAAAATTGTTATTGTTGGAAATAGTTTATTTTCTGAATAGTAATGTTTGGAACTAATTTTGGTGACACTAACGGTAATTAGCTATTTTGGCACTCAAAACTCCATTTTTCTTCAAATAAAGCAAAGGCACACTGATGTTTTCAATAATTTTCAAATAGCCATACCCTGCTTCTTATGTTTTATAAACTCATAGTCATTCTTCAATGTGCCACCAAGTGTTTTTTCTCAAGAGTCAAAATGTATGTTTCCAAATTTCCAAAAACACGTAGTAGTGTACAGTTGGTTTTTGAAAACATTACACTTAAGCACTGTGGCTTAATTTTTAATTGACAACTTTTAGATAAGACATTTTGGAGTTTGTTGACTCTTGGCCAAAAACCAGTTCTTTTGGAAAATTGTTTTATATAGAACATAATTAGGGATATGCGTAAAAATATACTACAGATTTAAAATCTTTTCATCATATCAGTCTTTTGAAAGAGATCAACTTAGGTGAAATAAATATATAACACTCTATTTGTTAACTGCTCTATTGAAAAGGAGGCAGATTCTATACATCTAGAAGCTTGATTTTGTCTGCCAAAAGAAAGCAGCTCTCTTTGGCCAAAATGCAAAATTATATTGCTGTAAGAAAAGTTACAAGGGAAAGTTTGAAGACACAAATGATTTAGTTTTGGCTCAAAAACTGAATTTGCTTAACACTGCTACATAATTTGGGTGAGGTTTCCTTCTGCCTGTTTTTCTTGACCTAGATAAATACATTTTGAGAAACCAAGATCTGATGAATGTCAACCAACATTGACAGCTATATGATTAAAATAAAAGGTGAGCAGTCACTTTTTTATTACTCATTAATAATTAGCTTTTTCAGGTCATGAATTAAGCAAGGATTGCCACTTTCAGACTGATAAAACAAAAAGACACTGAAGCTTAATATCTTAATAACCCAGAGGACCTAAATTTATAAAATATAGAATTAAAATGTTAATCTCTTGGTTTCTTCCCAGAATTATATTTTAATAACTATATAATACATTCCAAATACTTATAAGAATTTTTGCTTACCAAATGCTTAGAAATAACATCCCTTAATTCTATAAAGTACAGAATACTATCTTAAATTTTTAAGGACAAGGTAGTTTCTATTGGTTCAGTTTCTTTAAATACCCGTTTTTGAGACCAAAAACTCCCAATAAGGAAACAAGTCAGCCCGATTCCAGCATTTTATTACCTAATTTTAAAGTACTATGATGATTGGATGGCTTCTTTCAATGTTTAATAATCCTTGGTTAAACTCATGTGTATCTCATGTTAAGTAGCTGAGTTACTGAACGCACTACCACGGGGGGAAGGAAAGGCACTTATTTCACAGGATTAGCTAGAATGGAGAAGTGGGACTTTTAGCAGAAGGATTCATCTAAAAAATCTGGGTTCTTTAGTTGTCTAGTCCTATGACTGCTTAATGATAATTGTTATGTGTTCCCTGGAACTGCCGCTACAACAGGAGAGTGTTGAAAGTAGAAATATTTTCTTGAATGAAACTATATTCCAGTTGATCCATATTCAAATATTTATGACTTCCAATTTGTTCCTTCTCTGCATTTGTTTAAAACTATTGTAAACGTTAGTGTATCCCTTTGGATTGTGCCTTTGTGTTTGTGTCATGAGAATCAACTGAGAAGTCATACAGATAATGTGAAAGTTGTTACCGCCACAGCATGAATGTACAGTTGTATTAAATTTAATCCGGAGAAGTCTGTTTGGATGTGCTTTATATTACTAGATTTGTGAAAATGTTAGATTGTTACTTGGAAGGAAGTGATTTCTCTTCACTTTGCCAGTTTAGGTTTGTATATGTTTTCATTAACCTTCTATGTCTTTTCATATGAGCCACTTTGAGCCTTTCCTGTAAAAATACATTTCTTCTCTCCTTTAAGTTGCCCCACAAAAATTTGCTTTATTTCCATTTCTTTTGCTGAATTTCTTGGGGGAAAATATCTCTCAAAAATAAGTAGGTTTTTCCTTTCATGTGCTAATCATTTCAGGTATCTGTATTTCTTTTGCTCTCCTTAAGAGTCTTAGTTAAAATACAGTGTGGTCTGCTTTTCATTTATTCATGTGATGATATCTAAGCACCCGCCCAAGGCAAGAAAGATCTAGGCACAGACAAAACAGTCTCAAGCATTTGAGTATGGAAATATGTAATAGACTAAGGCTTAAAAGTGAAAATATGAAACAAAAGGTAGTATTCTTAAGAGCTATTCTGTTATACTTCATTTAAGGGCTTTGGAGGGTAAGATCGACACACAGATAGACCTCATCTGTAAATTCAGATTGGTCTAGTAGCTCTTAGTGGTAAAGACAGACAGTCACTTAGGATAGTCATTTTAGTATCCCATTTAATGGAGCTTTTAGAAATAGAATACAACCTAGGTGTATTTAAAACCCCAACACATAGCCTGTGTGCTTGCAGCAAGACTACGGTAACAGCAGGGATGTGTGAGTGACTGCTGGTCAGCAGCAGCTCCTCACCACATCTTATCTTAGCACTGGAGGAAGGAGTCCCAGCAGCATGGCTCCACCCCCACGCACACCTCACTCCAGCTTCCTGCATTTTGCTTTTCATCAACATCTCAGTTCAGCTTAAATGTGTGTTGGCAACTTCAGATAGGTGAGAGAAAAGCCTCCTTACCAAGGTTCTTTCCAAATGTTTCCTTAGCTGCTCTTCAAAAGGGTGGAAAGAACAAAAGAAGCCTTGTTGACTTTATTTCCCTTTTAAAAACTATGAGTGACAATTATTAAATCAGTTACTGAATAATAGAATTCCAATGTAACTATGTGCCAAGACAAACACTGTTAGTGTTCATGATAAACTAATACAGTCTAACACATGTATTTAAAAGAGTTGTTTTGAAAGAATGAGAGGGGCCAAAAGAAACAAAAAATAATACACAACTACATATTCCAGTCTGCCCATCTAACTTGTCTAACTTCTTTCCAAAGGCAATCACTATCACTGGTTTCTTGTGATATATCCTAGCATATATGCATCTATTCATATACAAATAAATGTTTACTTACAGCAAGCCTTTATTTTACACAAATGGCAATATACTAACTATATCCATAGTTTCTAACCTTTTTCTCATTTAATTGGAAAAAATTCTTGCTGGTACTACAATACCTCTGTCTCATTGTTTGACTGCAAAGTATTCCATTTTCTATTACACTCTGTTGTTTACTTATTTGTTAGTCTTGCTTTGTATACCTTATCTGTGTGGTACAATGAGTGGTACAGTGACAAGTTTTGCTGACAGAGGAAAAAAAATTTCTTTGTGTATCAGGTCAAGCCCCCAAACTGTAGTCAAAGAATAACAAAAGAGCTGAGCTGCACCTGAGGGAGAAAACATGGAGAATTACTGATCTGGTTACCACAAATGTAATTCCAGTGTCTATCACCTAGCTGTATATGCCTGGACAATCACTTAAGCAATATGGATTGATAAAATGATTTCTAAGATCCCGTTCAGCAATAAAGTTATAAGATTTGGAATTCCTGAGAAGTTGCAGCTAACACATACTGTTTAATATATATATTGAAAACATCTCATTTGGTCTCAATCAGGTCAACAAAAAAGATAAATGCAAAGTAAACAAGACTCTAACATTAAAAATTATGACCAAGGAAATAATTTTAAAACTTCCCTAAGGGTTCACTTCTAGTTTTATAGATATTATAATTTAATACTGCCACAAGAGCCACCCCAAATCTAAAAGCTAGCACCAGCCATCAACTGTCCCTGCCCTGGAATTATCTCTGTAATTTTGTAGCAACCCTGTAAAGTGGAAGTATAAAGATGAGGAAAATAAGCTTCAGAAAGATTAAGTTATTTAACTTGCCTAAGGTCATGGAGTGTGCTTCCTAAATAAACAAACTGATTAAAATGAATATTCATTGGGAAGATTATAATTTGTTTTACTTCCAAGTTTTCTACATGACTCTGGATATATACTCTGCACTGATTCTCTTTCTGGTTTTTTTAAAAAGAGGCAAAACCAAGGAAGGTTTATTAAAAATCTGACCATAAATACTGTTCAAACTAACAGAGGTTTTCTCTTTTTTTTCTTCCCAAAGGAAAAGGAATCATTAAAGAATTTCTTTGCTTAATCTAAGAAGTAACCAAATCTAGTAATTAAATCTGGCTAATGTGACAACTGCTTTTCTTACAGACTGTCTTTTTACTTTTGTTGACCTGAGTAACTTCAATCTCTCTCCCCAAAGGCACCTAGGAAGTTCAGAATGATTTTTTATATACTTTTCCATTCTTATTTATTGTAATCTGTTTTTTATACCTGAAATTAATCCAACTCCAAACACAGCATATGAATGGATAAATTACTTTAACAAAAAATTATTTTGTCCATTATTAAAATGCACCAACTTGATGCACTCAGATTGCTTTAGATGAACACATTTGTGTTCAGTAAATATATCTGGTCTTTTTTCAATGAAATTGCAATATAATTACAAAGAATAACACAGATCCACATACAATGGCTCATTGTCTTTGATAATGACAACATTATTGGGATGTCTCCTGTATTTGTTCTTAAAAAAAGAATTTTTCTCTTTAAAAAGAGGTGGAAAAGCATTTAGTGGGGAAAACTAATTGAGCTGAGATTTAGCTGTAGGTATAAATTAAAACAGATTTGAACATTTTCTGACATTGAATAAGTGAAAAAAAGGGGCAGCCCTGACTCCTACTGAGTGCCGAAAAAAATCAGGATCAGACAACGTTTTAGACAAGTCACAAAACTAATAATCCAAATACTACCATCTAATCCAGTTGTTGTCAATCCTAACTGTACATCAAAACAACCTATGAAGTCTACCAGATATAGATACTATATCAAACCCCAAACATACCGAATCAAAGTCTACAAAGTTGGAGCCTAGATCTGTATGTTTTAAAAAGCTCAAAGGAGAAAGACATCGCTGGCTGCTCATCTTTTTTTCCTAGTCTGAATCCTAATTTTAAAAATTATCCATGCTGTCCTCATGTTTAGCTCATGCAGAGGAAGAGGATTCTACTTAGAAGCTCTGGGAGATGCAACTGGTCTAAGGGTTACTCCTTCCATTTCCCAGTGACTGGCTCAGGAGTAGACAGGTCTAAGCCACTTTAGATCAATGAGACCCTGGGAAAGCTTTTGCATACTAAGAGAAGGCCCTTGGATTCCAGCCTGACTCCTCCACAGCATGTAAATGAAGAAGCACATGGCTCCAACTGCTATTGGCAATCATCCCATGACCACGAGGGTAGCCAGCCTTAAGATGATGCCAGTGCTGCATTTGAAAATGGGAGAAACAACCCTAGAGGTTTTTGGTGACACCACTGAATCATTGGATCAGAAATAGTGAAGCCCATTCTATCGTAGACCACGTGTATAATGATTCAGTATATTTTATTAAGTCACTTTATTATTTTTTTAAGTTTATTTTGTGAGAGAGGGAGCACAAGCAGGGGAGAAGAACAGAGAGAGAGAGAAAGAGAGAGTGCACAGGCAGGCAAGAAGAACAGAGAGAGAGGGACAGAGAATTCCAAGCAGGTTCCCCACTGTCAGCATGGAGCTCGATACGGGGCTCAACCCCACAAACTGAGATCCTGACCTGAGTTGCTTAACCAATTGAGCAACCAGGTGCCCCTATTTTATTAAGTCATTTCAAATTGGATTTTTTATTATCTGCAACTGAAAGCTAGAGTGGTCTGACCCAGTACTGCATTCTTTCAACCATCTGTATTAAATAGAAACCATATAAATACCAATTCATATTTATTTAATCTATAAATCTGAAATTGATTTATCTTTCCTATTTTAACAAAGAATGAATCTTTAAAAAATATTTTATATGTTATTCTTTTCAATATTTGAGCTGAACTGTATTTCAAAGTTTATATTCACTGCATTCAGGTCATTATCTACTCAAAGTTTTTACTATAGGCTTTATCTTGAATGTGTAAGACCATTCGCCGTGCATAGAAGTCCCTGTATTCCTCTGGTAATTCAGAGAGCGTTTTTAAAGCTCTGTCCAGAATTTGTGCAGCTCTTGATGCTGCTGTAGGGTCTTTGTTTCCATAGGTATCTGTTTTATCATAGCACTCAGATGGAAGGTGCTTCCAAAAAACATTCACTCCCACTCCAAACTCTTCAGAGATTACGTTATGGAACCATAAAGCTAGAGAAAGTTAAAAAAAAAAAAGTTAAAAATAAAACCCAGAGTAAAAAAAATTAAGAAAACCAAAATGTCAGGGAAATATCACAAATTGCATATAGCCAATGTAAGAAATTCTTGTAACTAGATCCCTTCGTTAGCACACTCCCAGCTTTTAACAGAATCATTTTAACTTTTATGAACTGCCAACCAATTTAAAGTGTCAATAACACAACCCTACGTTTAAAACCTTTGGAAATAGCAATTTTCCCTTTTAGCTTGAAAGACATAATAAAGTTGTATTTGTTTTGTAGTTCTGTAATTTGGGGCTATGTTTTGTGTTACTTATTTACACTTCCTGAGTCCTACAACCACATCAAAAGTGTTTATTTTTTGCACACAGAACATTTCAATTATTTGAGGAGTATCTTTGACCTTTTCTGCCTCAGCACAGTACTTTTGTTCTCAAAGACTTCCTATTCAAGCTGCATTTGGTTTTCTAACTTGCTTAAATTTGCATTCATTATAGCCTCCTTAGTATCATAT